CTCTCCCTATCTGGGGGAGCCAAATGATGTGCTTCTTTTGCCTTAGACAATGAGTGAACCGCTACAGAATTCAGTTCAGGCTTCATACATGGCCTCATAGCATTTAGAAATAGGTGGCACTGAAGCAGGCTTGCCCCAGGCTTCCTGCAAAGTTGCCAGATGCACTGGTAGTACAAGCAGTACTGAGGATGTAGGTAAGTCTGACCGGAGAATGTCATGCACTATCTCAGAGATAGGTGCTGCCCCTGAGGTTAATGGTATTCCCAATGCCTTTGCCATGCACTGTATTAAGCCCAGGGATCCCTTAGCACCTTCTAGAGTAGGCAAACCTTGCTAAGGATCCAGCTCATGTTCAACTGGAGCATCCCTTTCACCTTCTTCCTGCAACACCAAATTGTCTGTGTCGGGATCCGACCCAATCAGAGAGGTAAACTGCTGTGTATCTAAGCCTGCCGCATCCTCCATTTCTAATGACTCATGAGTCTCATGCAGCACTGGAACCTTAGTCCCTTGATCCCTACCCTTGGGATCTGCTGATGGGGGATGTCTCTAACCAATCAAAGGTCTGGGGGGTTGTGCGCATTGATGCGGCAAATTGCTGACTAAGTTTCAAGATCAGAGATCTCGAATACCTGCAGTGCCTTGTTCGGGATGGAGACCTGGAACGCCAATGGATGCAAAATGACCAATGCCAATAAGATCTGTGTCAATGGTAAGATGGATCCAGGATCGGCAAATTGTGACTCCATGGCATTCTTTCACTATAATAGACCCCAGAGTAGTCACTTACAGAGCAGCAAGAAAATGCAAGGGATCAATCATGTAAGTGCCCCCTAGATTGTTCTTTTGGCAAGTTCGACTGCAGGAGTTGAATGTCCAGAAGTATAATCATCCTCCACCAGGATCTGGAGTGGCGGTACTGACTACACAGATGGAGACAACAGCACCTCAGTGCATCCCTGCGTTTGTCTAGGGGTTGAAGGAGGCATCTGAGTTGACTGCTGAGAGATCGAATCCAAAGGTGCCTCCATATGCCCCACTGACAATGATTTTGTTGATAGCCCCATCAGGAGAATAGGCACCACCATAATCTTCGCCAGCAGCTGCTCATCTGGTGGCCTCGAGACAGTAGCCAGTTTTGACGTATCTGTCACTTTCAGGACCTTCAGCTTTGTGGGGACCTGACCCAAGGTGGATGCCCTCTTGGACAGTTTGTAACTTTTAGCCTTTTTTGGCTTAGGCAAAACCGTGTGTTGAGGCACAAATCTCCCCACTCTATAGGTGGGGGAGGTGGTGTGTGTTCAGATCCAGAGGGTTGCACCATCATTGGCGTTAGTGACTTTTCTAACAAAAAAGTCTTAAGGTGGGCCACCCAATTCTTCTTAGCCTGGCATGTAAATTTTGAACAATGCGGGCAGGACCTTGTTCTATGGTCTTCCCCGAGGCACAATAAACAGCAATCATGGCCAACTGTTGGGGGAATCTAGGCGTTAGAGCCAGAACGCCATTTAAAGAAGGGCATCCATCCCATATGCTGCCCCCTCAGTCCGAAAAATTGATTAAAGGTATGAGAGGGTGGATGACTAACAGAGCACTAATCTTTTTTCTTTTCTTTTCTTTAAACAAGGTATATGTCGATTGAGGTAAAACAGAAGAGGCTATCACAGAGAGACAAGGAAAGATGTCCAACTGAGAGGTGGTAAGGAAAGAACTGAATGGGGGCAGGGTCTACCTCAGTTCTGGGCATGTTCAGTAGAGGCCTGCTCCATGGAGCTGTGGTAGATCCCACCCAGAAGAGGTTGTCTTAAAAGCTTTTTTAAGTTTCCCAGCGAGGGTTTGACGCAGGCACAGAACCTAGTACGTGGCCTGCACAGAGACCATGGAGACGATCCAGTGCATATGGGCCAAGACTAGAGTGATATGATCCCTACAACCATTCTAGTCAACATTCTGGATCAATTGATGATTGTTCCAAACACTTTTCAAGGGAAGCACCACATAGAATCTAATCTAGATGCAACTAGGGCATGCACCACAATGACCCCCTGTCTCAAGGAGGCATTAATTACCTCCAGACAACTAAGATCAGATCCCTAGAAAAAATGGTAGCTTTGGAAGCTGGACTCTATGGCATTATATCCTGCTGAGGTCCCTCCCCAGGCTCCACCCCAAAAATTTCCAGATATTTCCCAACCCAGAGCTGGCAGCACTAGTTGTGTTGTAGGTATGCCTCTTTACCTCCACCCATGCCTATTTCTGTAACTGTAAATAAAGGGTCGCGAAGAGTCGGACTCGACTGTGCGACTGAACAACAACAACAAATAAAGGCAATACTATAATGTTTGAAGTCTTCAGTGCAGTCTTCCAAAGGCAATCAAGCCAGGAAAGCACTATCCCTGAAACATCTCACTGTTAAGGAACCAATATTTTTCTTAAAGACTCTCTCAGAACAGTTAAATATTTTTAAAAGTTACTGTTTTAAGAAAGTTTATTTATGGATATGCCTGCATTAAAGAATGTTGTTTGTTGTACACATCTCATTCTAACAAGAAACTTCAATTTAAGAAGCAATTCAATGATTTTTGTGGATTCAGTCAGCCAGGCCTTCCAGAAAAGTCTAAGCAAGAAATAGGCAACACTTCACCCACAGCAGGTCTAATCAAGGACTTTGGAAAAGTATAACCTTCAGGATGTATAAGCTGCTGTTTTCTTGCTAGGAAGCACAAGCCTCAGATGCGTATGAAATTTTTAAAAATGATGGGGGGAAAGCCATAAATCTAACTTTGGTGACTCATTACAGTGCTTCAGTGAGACACTCAAAATCTTGTCATAGTTTCTGCAGGGTTTTAAATCTGCTTCATGCCTGTGACTGTTACATCACGGATTTCTGTGGGATTCCACAGCATGCTTAAATTCTCCTTACTGGAAGCATCCCTCTGTTTGGCCAACAAATGTACTCTGACATTTTCTGATAACCAGGTCACCAAGGGAGAAAGCTACAATATTTTTAAAAATAACAACACAACAGGCCATGAAGCTAAGAAGATCAGAGAGGAGACTGCAATCCTCATAGTGCCTAAAAGAAGAATTAAATGTGACAGCAGTGTTCCTTGTGTTCAAGAGTAGGTTGCCATCAAGCATCTGTAAATGGGGGAGGGGTGGAGATGTCAGGCAAAAAAGTAGCAGACAGTGAACCCATCTACCACTCCCCTCACACAAATATATATACAACTCTTCAACTACTTGTATCAGCTGATGTAAAACATAGGGGGAGAAGGGACACCTGCAGCAACCTGCATATGAAGACGAGTACACCACCATCACATCTCATGTCACCTTTATGGCATAGCTACAAGTAACATACATGAGCAGAGAACTGGTAGGGGCTTGCCACTGTTTCTCTGTTTCAAATGGCCACCCCAAGCCACTTTTCTCTCCATATTTCCAAAGTCTTGGGAGCAAATGAGGGAAAGAAGATGTGCATGTGGGTTCAGATAAGAACTAAATGAGTCTCATATACATATGTGAAACTTCAAGAAACAGATATGTGTCCCCTGTAGTACCTTATCACTTCCTAAAGATCCCTTTCATAGGCTTAGTTGAACATAATGCAAAACCATGTTCTATTTAAACTATAGTAAGTTTGTTAAACTAAGGATTCAGCACACAAACAATGACTTAAATGTTTTGCTCTTTCTCCTACTACACCTACAGAGATTCGGTTGGTAACCCAGCCTGTGTTGCAGCAAGGGCAACACCAAGGAACATACAAGGATGTCCACATTTGTACATCATGCAAAACCACAAAGACTAGCTATTGTTAACAACTCAGACCGTGGTTTTGATCCTTGTTTGATATTCCCTAAGTAGTTAGTAGAGTGGCCTACATTCAAATGATCACACTAGCCATAATTACTTTAATTAAAGGCCCCTGCCACACGGCAGGGGAAAAGCCTCTTAAGGCGCGGCTTTTAAAAGCCGCGCCAACGTTGAGACGCTGCGGCGGGATCCCACGGATCCCCTGGCCGCGGCGCCTTTTCTCCCCGGCGCGATCAAACACCGGGGAGAAAACACAGGTCAGACGCCTAGCCGGCCGAACTGCGCATGTCGGAGCATGCGCAGTTCGGATCCAGGCCGGGGTTGTGCCGGCGCAAGGACGCGCCGGCGATCAAACGCCCCGCTTGCCGCGCCGCGTCCATTTGAACCACCTAAGGTAGGTGGTTCAGTTTGCGGCGGATTTGTGCGGGGAAGGGACAGTTCGGGCATGGAAGCAAGACGCTTCCCAGATGTTGTGGTGTGATCGCGCCGGTTTGATCCGGCCCCGAACTGTCCCGCTCCCGGCCCAAATCGCCTAGTGTGAACGGGACTAAACTATGGTTTCACATGATATCTGAATCAAGTCATGTTGTGTTTTAAATGACAGTATGGGAAGTCTATAGCAGCTGGCAACAGTTAGGCCAATAAGGGGCCTCAGAAATGACAGCAATAGTAATGGTACTGGACGAGAGCTCAAGCACTTGTGCAGGTCTACTGGATAGTATTCCCCGCCTTAAATTCAAACGCTACCCTACATACACAACCCTGAATGGCAGAGGATGATACAATCACATATGTATTGAAAGATCAAAGAGCATTTTCATACACAAAGTTACATTCACTTTTGTTTCAAAGCAGCACCTTAAAAATGCAAACCCACATTAAATCTCATTTCAATCAATTTCCAAATCCACTCCTACGTATATTAAATAGAATTCACATGTGATCAAAAACTGATAGGCTCACATATGGAAATGCCATTACATTTTAATTCAGTAGTAAATCGATACATATTATCTTAATTAGACAAAACCCAATTCAAATGAATGTTCAAACTAATAGCAATTTTACTAAACAATTACTCTTCAAATTATTCTTCAAGTTGATTCAAGTGAAAACTGAAAAGCAGCAATCAAGCAACATATGTCAGACATAAATCAGCCAAAAATACTTGAAAAACTTACCTTAAAAATATACTGTATTGAGGATAAAAGATGCTTTCATACTGAACCCAGGTCCCATGGTCACCTTCTGTTGCCTTTCTGCTATCTTCTCTTACTGAGAAGAGATTAAATGAAGCAAATCTCCTTACTGATACTTGCTGAAGATGCATACCCGTCACATGTTTTTGTTTCAGAACCTTTAAAACAAATATATATATATTTACTATTCAATTTAACTAAACATCACAGAATGTTAATGCTCAGGAAAAAATTGTACAAACTGAAGTTTCCCATATTGAAAAAGCTGCCACTTGGCCACCATCTATGTCTTCACAACTTCAAGGCTAGATGATTGTAATATACTCTACTGGGGGGTTTCTTTACAGACTATCTGGAAGAATCAGCTACAGAATGTGATGAAGTATACCTTATGAGAAGGGGTCATTGGGAGATCCAGCAGCTGTACTGAGTACTAACCTCTTGTTGCTACCAAGGCACATTTCAAGATGTTGCATTTAATCTCCTTCAGAGACCACACACCATATATAAGAAACCATCAAAGCACTGTGTAGACTACATTCAGTCCAGGGATCCATGAACTGGGTGCAGCGAGGAGCCAGGCTGTACATGCTGTTTCTATTCCCAACTGCCAGAAGCTTTTCTATATAGAACCTACAAGCCTACATAGTCTTCACCCCACAAAAATGCAGGGCTCAGATTGCTTAGAGAGACTCTGTAAACATACCTCTTATACATCCATAGACTCCACACAAGACATCAAAAGCAGGGAAAGTGGCTGTTCTTGTAAGCATATACTAGCTATAAGTATACAGTATGTGTAATTTATCTAAACCCGACCGCGTGCGAGGCGAGTTCTCCACACGGTCATGCGAAGCCTCCAAGCTTTGCTCCGGGAGACAATAGCCCAAGCGGATCCTAGCCCACACCAACCAGAGGGCTAGGATCTCTCGGCCACTGTATATAGCCTATCACTGAGTGGAGGTGTGTTCTGGGAGTCGGTTTACTGAGCATATAAGCCAGCCTGCGAGCCAAGGTTTTTCGTCTTGTTCTGTACCAACAATAAAGTATGAGCTGAATTCACTTGCCAGTCTCAGTACTTTTCAGTATCACTACATAATCTGTACCTTGAAATCCTGCTCCTTTCATATTTTCATTATCCTCATATTATATGTTGATGTACAGGGCCCATCTTTCCTCATACTTTTCATCATGTTCTTGAGAACCAATTGAAAGCACCTGACTGATATTATCTATTTTAAAAGTCAGACTTTTCCAAGGCACACAGGAAGACCTGCTTTGCTTTCTGGAGCCCCCAGCCATTTCTCTTGTGTATCTGTTTGTTTTTATTGTATTTTAAATTATTTGTTGTCATTATAACATGCTTTGGGGAGAAAAGTGGAATATAAACAAGGAGGGAGGCTACACCAACTACATCTGTCCCCAGCAAAATTGACCCACCAATCACTGTTTTAGCCAGCTCTACCAATATGATATTGATACCAAGATACATGGATACTGTGGGAATTCAGAAGCAACAACATGCATCCCTAGCTCTCATGCTGCTGTAGTGTGATTTCAGCCAATGAGGTCAAAAAGTAATGCATATTAAGTAATTAGGGAGAGAAGAAATAAGCAGTGGAAGAGAAGTTGGAAGACTGTGGTACATTATCCCCCCTCCTCACTGAATTGTCCATCAATCAATCTAGATGATAATCAGACTGCTAATATTAATGAAAAAGTAAGAACAGCTCAAATGTTATTTTTTACTCAACAGAACATCATCCTTGGAGGTAATCAAAAATCCACCTAATGAAAAAAATTAAATGTTCTTAATGCCTAAGTAAGCTTAACCTAAATAGGTCAATAGGAAAAGGATAAAACTGCTACTAAATCCCCTGTGCCAACACAATTCCAAATCATGCCAGCATAGTAGCATAATTATGCCATCATTAAATTTAAGTCAGCATGCACTGTTGTTACTATGATAGCAAAAATAGGTGGGGATGGGTAAAGATGGAGATATAGCAAGAGAGATGTGGAAAAAAGCCTACTTAGCTGCCATCCTAGCCCACCCAGGACCAAGTCCCACAACTCCCATCTGCATAACGCTAGCAAAATTTCTGCCACAACTAAATACATATTTACTGGACTCAATGTTGTTGTTCAGTCGCATAGTCGAGTCCAACTCTTCACGACCCCCATGGACGACATCACGCCAGGCTCTCCTGTCTTCCGTCGTGCTCTGGAGTTCGCTTAATTTCTTTGACCTTCAATCTTTCCCAGCATCAGGGTCTTCTCCAGTGAGTGCTCCCTTCTCATTTGGTGGCCAAAGTATTTGAGCTTCAGCTTCAGTATCTGGCCTTCCAGGGAACAGTCAGGGTTGATTTCTTTTAGGATTGACTGGTTTCATCTTCTTGCAGTCCAGGGGACTCTCAAGAGTCTTCTCCAGCTGGCACATTGTCTGTGACTTTTTAAGGAATATATTGACTGGTATAGAATGGTGTAGGCTATAGGTGCTGGGTATATAGTATGTAAAACAGAAAAACTGATTTAAGAAGGTAGCACCTTGTTTTAAGTACTAATAGAATGAATTAAAGGTACAGGCAAGGAATGTTGACAGGGCATTAATTGAAAGGAAAAGATATGAATTTATTTATATTTGCATATAATTGGATGGGTAAAATGAATTACTATGAGTTAAAGACGATAATATGAGTATTTAATATTTATAAAATTGATTTGGTGTTAAATGAAATGATTCAGTCAATATGAATTATAAATAGGTGTTGAATTAGTTAGATTGGAGTGAACTGATTTAAAGGCTGATGTTGTTGGTGGGATTTAAAGCTATAGATAAGAAATGTGGTTAAGATATGAAGTAATATACATGAATTTATTTATGGGTAAAATGAATTACTATAAGCTAAAGAGGATAATATGACTAATTAATATTACTCAATATTCATAAATTTGGTTGGGTTTTAAATGAAATGAGTATAAATTGAATCATGTTATTTGATATTAGTAGGAGAGATTATGTAGGTTTTTTCCTTTTGGTTTTTGGGATGGTGTCTCTGATAGTGAAGTAAGAAACTATGTAATTCTGGCTGAGATAACCTTAAGTACAAATGGTAAAAAAGCTGTAGATAAGAAATGTGGTTAAGATATGAAAGTAATATATATGAATTTATTTATGGGTAAAATGAATTATTATAAGCTAAAGAGGATAATATGACTATTTAATATTATTCAATATTTACAAATTTGGTTTGGTTTTAAATGAAATGAGTATTGATTGAATCATGTTATTTGATATTAGTAGGAGAGATTATGTAAGTAAGGTTTTTCCTTTTGGTTTTTGGGATGATGTCTCTGGAAGTGAAGTAAGAAACTAGGTAAATCTGGCTGAGACACTCTTAAGTATAAATGGTAAAACAAATTTGAATAGTGGACTGTCTCAAGAAAAAAAAGAGTGAGAAA